GACAATGTGGCTTCCATGTCATTCAGGCATGAGTGTCATGGGTTCTGCCTAGCTCTAGAACTGTCCGTGAGCAATATGAGGCTTCTGATGAAAGGATAGGCTACCAGTGGGTAGCATATTCATACTGGTTGCCTGCTGACGCTGCAGCCCAACATGTTGGCTTATTCAATAATGCAAACTGGCCCAGAGAATCTGCTGAATGGGGCATGTGTCAAGTGTGAGGGTCTGCAAAAAATCAGGAGGAGGGACCTTCTGTGAACCAAGCCCTTCCCCTCACAGAAGGCAGATCTTGGACCCAATTCTCATTTGGAAGTAGTCTTGAAGTCTTAAAAAATACAGTATATTTCTGTCATATTCTTTCAATCCAAAATCCTCCTTTGTAGCACTCTGTATCCAAACTATTAGTTATTGGATCATTTTAATATTGGCTAAACCTTCTTTACCATCCACATTACTAGTTGTTGTTTAATTAGTCTGGTATTAAGCAAGCAGCTGTCTCTCTTTGCATATCATGTTTTGAAGTTGCTTAAGACAATGCACTAACAACCAGTGTAATCCACATGCACAGAATCCAGCTTTGTACTTACTACTGTCCTGCTGAGCAGTTATATGTGTATGGCAAGTGAAGGGCTGAAATGTCACACGTGTTTTCCCCTACATGCATATGAATATATTTAGAAAGACTGCAATGTGAAATATAGTACTTGCATGGAATTTCTTAGCACCCTGATACTCCATCCCACTTCATAGCTGGAAAAATGAATGTGATTATTTATTTTGAGATTCAGTAGACACAAAGATGAGATGAAGCAGGATTGACCTACTTATAGTCCCTCAGGGCAGACAGCCTGACATCTGCTAATTAAGGTACTCCATGAATTTATAATGTAATTGAATATCTCAACTCGTGCTCATAATAGTGCGGCCCCTTGATGGAGAACCTGAGTTAGCACACACCATTTCCACATTAGAATAGAAAAGTTGGAAAAGTCACCATGGGAACTTTCACTATCAAGCCTCGGGATCCAAGTCTGTTGATTTTTTTAAAATTAGATTATTACAGGGACACAGGAAGTTCCCTTTAGTTAAGTCAAGCTACAAAAACCAAACCAAACCAAAAGTTTTCACCATTATAAGCCTCCAAGCTCTATTTCTTATAAAAATAGCACTGTTTGAGCAAATAACTTGAACCCTGGTCTCTGCGATCTACCACTGAACCAGTTCAAACCAATCCAAGTCCAGCAAATTAAACAGTGCTTCAAATGGACAGATTTGCCTTTTACTACAAATTACTTCCTGGTGCATCATGTATCTCCTGCCAAAGTTGGGGGCATCTTCTAATATACTTTATTCAGACTTGTCAAAGCAGGGTGACTTTCATGGATTTGGTGACATTCGAAGAAGCAGTTAAAAAGTGGTTACAAGGACAGCCCATGTGGTGTATTGGTTAAGAGCCTGGGAATAGGATACAGGAATCTGGGTTGTGGTCCCCATTCAGCCATGGAATCAAGTGGGTGACTCTGGGCCAGTCACAGGCTCTCAGTCCCCACTACCTCGCAGAGTCGTTATGATGAGGATAAGATTAAGAGTTCTTTGGAAGGAAAAAAGGCAGGCTATAAATATAATAAATAAAGTGGTTTGGGCCACAATGGATGGCACAGTTATGTCTTGCCTGCTTGGGGTCTCTCTAAATCTGGAATGCTGCTAGGGCTTCACAGGTGTCCCATACTGAAATCATCCCTGCTCTGTGAATGCTTTTCGTTATGGAATGCAAGCTCACCTGGTCAGGCTGCACATCAGTGCACAGGCCTGGATGCCAGCACAGGAAGCTGTCAAGGAACTGTGATACTTCGCGCCTGGGTATGTTTCCAGTTTGACTTGATCACCGACACTTCCAATGTACATTGCTATAAAAACATCCAGCTGCAATTGCAGGTGTAGATCGAAGGGTTCAAGCCACCTAACTGCCTTCCTGCTCTACAGTCTTGCTCTATATTAGGTTCCTTGCACTTTCTTTTGAGTGGAAAAAAAAAGTGAGGGGAGAACTAGCTATATATGTAAAGTAGCATATGGTTTGATCCTTAGGGAATATGATAGTGATGGAATGCACAGGTGTAAAAAGAAGAGGAATCAGGACCTCACACCACCCTTCTAACAAGAGGAAGGCCATAAAAGGGCCCCAGTACTTGCTCTTCCATTCCTTCTGGAGGGGATAAAAGGAACATGGAGGGATGCAATCCAACACAATTGGAGAAGGTTGGTTTCCCCATCCTCCCAGCCACTAATGTAAGAAACAGGCATGGGATAATCCAAAGGAAGGTTCCTCAGTGCAGAACCAGACCTGCATGGAGCAACTTAGCTGCTCCATCTCAGGTGCTCCATTCTCCCCCATCTGGACCTGAAAAATCACAGGGCACATCTGTTAGGGAACAACTTTGGCTTTCAATTTCATGGCTTTGTGGAGCTTGAGACAACAGGAAAAAATGTTTGGGTGCATGGTGGACAAATTGTACATAAGAAGAGTTTGTGAAATGACAGCAGCTCTACAGGGTCAAATTTTTGTTGGGGTGGTCTTTCACATCAGCTGCTACTGAATCCTCTTAATGAGATTGAATTCAGGATCATCTGCATGCAAACCATATGCTCTGCCAGAGACCTATGACCTTTCCCTTTTCAATTTAATTGCCATTTTGTTCCTGGAGCACCATGAGTATATTTGTAGTCAGCAGCTGTCACGTCAGCTGGTAAAGATGCAACATTAGTCTTCTTCTGTCTGTTCTTAAAGGAGATGCAATTATGGATTGACACATCCACCAGTTGCACTTTCTCCTCTATTTGAATTTTTAAGGACTTAAGGGGTTTTTTTTCCCTTCTGTGTATAAAGTTACTTATGAGAAAGATATAATAGCACTCTTCAAGTAATTGAAAGGTTGTCACAAAAAGGAAGGCCAGAATTTCTTCTCAATCATCCCAGAGTGCAGGGCACAAAATAACAGGTTCAAGTTACAAGATGCCAGATTCTGGCTAAATCTTGAGGGGGGTGGGGGGGGCGGATCCCTGACTATTAAAGCAGTATGACAATGAAACCAGTTTCCTAGGGAGGTGGTGGGCTCTCCCACACTGGAGACATTCAAGATGCAACTGGGGAGCCATCTGAGAGGGATGCTTTAACTTAGAGTCCATTAGATGTGTTGCATGTTTCATAGTGCATGTGAGAGGTGGGGGGTTGCTTTAGGTTTTCTCTTCAGATATGGTCTTTTTGGGATTCTGATGTTGTCTTCTTCTCTTTTTTCAGTTGTGATGCAAGAATATAATTTGTTTGCATTTTCATAACTACACTTCAAACCGTTGTAGAAATACTTGTGTGTTAGCTAAGTCCTTTATGCAGAATTTGAGAAGGCCAGGTCTAAATTCACCTTCTCATTAATGGCAAAGTGCATAACAGGTTGAGTTAGATGTTCAGAAGGCTTTGTAGAAGACAACACCTTTCTTTCCTTCTTTATATAATTTTCTTTACTGAAGTGAATCTACTAGGCTACAAGTTTGGAATTAATCAGAGAAGACTAAAGCAGTTAAAAAAATGTTCTCTGCAAAGTTTCCCAAGGAATTCTACCATGATGAAGTTGCATCCATTCCTGGATGTTAAGCCAGCAGCTTGGTCACTGGTGCTGGGGGAAGCGCTGCTCTCCATATCATTGTCAGCATTTCAGCATTTGATTTACAATAATTGGAATGTACCATAAGTGGGAGTGAAGTTAAGAGAGTTTGACAGCATATACGCCTGAGGTTTGCAACTCAAAATATGCTGTTGCCCTCCACCATGGACAGCCTCCTCCAGAAATTGATAGATAGCCATCAAACACTCACTCCTGCGGCCTCATCCAGATCCATTCCTGAGGAGTTGGATGACAGCAACCAAACCCTTCTACATAGAAGCAACAGTGACCTTTGAAATCAGATATAAAGAATCCCAGAACTAGCTGACATGTTTCAGCATTGACTTTAGTAATGCTGTCTCTTCATCTGTTTTCTCAGAGTTAGCTTGGTCAACTGTAGCACAAGTAGAATTTTACCAAACTTCAGGTGCAGATACGTGGTAAAATATGGTGCTTAAAATCTGTTGAGAAATTGTAATCTGCATCTTTCCACAAAATACTCCCTTGGCATTTCTTCATTTTTATTCAAAGAAAAATTTATTTCCCAAAGTGACTTACAAAGACTCAAAAGGCAGGGAGAAAAATCTCACAACGTGACTAGTTACTGAAGGCAGAGAGTGCAAACATGCAATCCAATTTACAGAAATAATGTGCGAACTAAGTTACATTTCTATCTAAACAAAAAGTCCTTAAAAAGTCCCTTAGACATTTTCAAGTTTTTCAGGTTTTAACTATTTCATTTTCCATGAAAGTAAAGAATTACATTGATCTCCACAATGTATTACTAATGGAACCAGCATGTCCATGTTCCATTGTCTATATTCTACCGCATGTCTACTGTAAGTTCGGCTGCTGCCAAAAGCATGTTGTTGTCATGGATGAAGTATATTGGAAGAGTTTTTAAATGCAGTTTTCCCCCGTCTGCATGTGACAAATGTCATGCCAGATTCTTTGATAACATACTTTGCTCTTGTGAGTATGCCGAACACAACAAAATCCTGCCACTTTTAAATCTCGATTCCACTGAAGGCATCTCACTGAGGGTCTTCTGGTCTCAGTGGAGAGCAAAGAACCAACATTTACAAACTTCACTACCTATTTGCAGTGTACTTGCAATATGCCAAGGGTCAGTAGGCTATCAGCAACCTTATGATGCAAGTTATGATCTAATAAGATCAGATCAAAGCCAAGCTTCTTATGGCACAGGAGTGAGACGTTTGTGATTGCTCCATGCTTCATTCAGCAGGCTGTGGGTCTTGCAGACAAATACAGCCAAGAGAAAAGCAAGCGTGTCTGATTTCTTTTACAGTGTTTCTGACTTGCTCCTTTCTTCCCCTCTCTCAGTCTGTTCACAGTTCTCCAAGGGTGTCTATGCTATCTTTGGCTTTTATGAGAGGAGGACTGTCAACATGCTCACATCCTTCTGCGGGGCACTCCACGTCTGTTTCGTAACACCCAGCTTCCCTGTTGACACATCCAACCAATTTGTTCTTCAGCTGCGCCCAGAACTACAGGATGCCCTCATCAGTGTTATAGAATATTACAAGTGCCAGAAATTTATGTACATTTATGATGCTGACCGGGGTGAGTCTGCACACTTTATGAAGTGAGGAAGGGTGGAGGGTGGAGTAGGGTTCTTGGGGTCTTATTTGTCATGGGAAACACTTTGGCCAGCGGTTCCTATTTTATTTCTTCCATAAATGTACTAGGCTGAATTAGGCAAGGCAGCATGGCACAGACTCGGCTTCCCTCCATGCAAGCTGCAATCATCACCACCACCACCACCACCCTGACCTACCTTTGTTGTAAAGTAAAGGTGGGCCAGACTGACTTCTAGGATACGCAGCTCACAATGAATACCAATACTCTTCTTTCCAGTAAGCAATCAGGCAGAAGAACGAGGTTTCTCTAATCACTGTGCTAGAAATAAAGGCTTATGAGGAAAGAATGAAACAGCTGGGTATATTTTATCTTTGAGAAGAAAAGACTGGGATTGGGGTGGGGACATGACACCACTTTTCAAGTACCACAGACTATGCTGTGTCGTCCAGGACTGTAGGACATGAAATAACAGGCAGAAGCTACAAGGAGGCAGATTTTAGTTGAATATCAGGAAAAGCTTCCTGCCGGTTGGAGCACTCAGACAATGAATGCAACTGCCAGGGAGTTTGTGGGCTCCCCATTGTTTGGGACTGGGCAGCCATCTGCCAGGGACATTTCATACTGAATTCCTGCACTGAGCAGGGGGTTGGACTCAATAGTGTAAATGACCCCTTCCAACACTGTGATTCGATGAATGTGCTATAGAAATTGAGCTGCTCTTTCTTGCCCTGAAACTTAGAAATGGAGCATGCATGCATATAATTGTACTCACTGCTAGGATGAGAAGATACGAGAAAAGCCATTCCTGAGAATTAATCTGCATAGCTAAACTATGGAAATCACTTCCGCACGATGCAGTGATGGCCACCAATTTGGGTGGCTTTAAAGGGGGATTGGGCAAATCCATGGAGGAAAAGGCTATCATTGGCTACTAGTCCAGATGGCTATATGCTGCCATCAGTATCAAGGGCAGGAAACGTATATGGACCAGTTGCTGGGGAATGGGGGTGGGCTGGTGCTGTTGGAGTGATGTCTTGCTTGTGGGCATTCCAGAGGCAGCTGGTTGGCCACTGTGTGAACAACACACTGGACTAGATGGGCCCCTTGGTTTGATTCAGCATGGCTTTTCTTACGCTCTTATGATTCATGATTCTTTCCCTTTCTTTAAAATTCATCCCATTTCAGGTCTGTCAGTGCTTCAAAAAGTGCTGGATACGGCTGCAGAGAAGAACTGGCAGGTGACTGCTGTTAATATAATGACAACAACAGAAGAGGACTACAGGTCACTCTTCCAGAATCTGGAGAAGAAGAAAGAACGGGTTGTGGTGGTGGACTGTGAATCGGAGCGACTAAATGCCATCCTGGGCAAGGTTGGTTCTAGCATCCAGTACTGACTGCTGAGGCAGAAAACACAACAAGGGGTTAGGTCCAGGATGTGTCTTCTGTGAGACGGAGGGACCTTCTAGCCCTGCTCCATTGTTTCACCCCATTCAGCAGGCTGTCCTGAACTTCAGGGGGCTGGAGGGGTTATTCTGGGAAGGAGGAGAGGGGGAAATTCACTTCCAACACAGCAGGTGATCCAGCTTAAATCTGGATCTAACTCCAAGAGTACTGGACTGCCAGCAATACTTATTTCATAACAAATATGCTACCTTAACCCTCTATCTATTTATCTATTTGTAAATATCCCGCCCCTTTCCTTTCAAAGAACTCAAGATGGCTTACATAATCCCCCGCCTCTCCATTTTATCTTCAAAAGAACCCTGTGAGGCAGGTTAGGCTGAGAGTTTGTGACTGTCATATTTACCTCATCACAGTCTGAGGACTAGAACCTGAAGCTCCCGCATCCCCCGTCCAACATTCTAACCGCGGTGCCACTTTGCGTTTGTTGCTGATCTACTGAATAGTCTGGAAGCCAGAAAGTGCAGGGAAGGATGAAGAATTGTGAGAAGGAAACATTTGTGCAGGATGCCTTTAGCATTTTTGTTGGTTTATTGATATCAAGACACCATTTGCCTATTTAGGACACCAACATATGATGTGATATTATAACTTTTAATGCCATAATAGAACTACCCAGGTGCTTCACAAACAAGTATAACATTAGAATACAGTATAAAACAAGATTGACTATCTAAAATTAAAACATACTGAATATACCACTTTTTAAACCAAGAGGCCCAGACTAGAAGAAGAAAAAGTGTAATTATTATTAGTAGTAATATAATAATATATTAATATTAATAATATTATTATAATTGATTGATTGATTTAAAAGGCCTGGGTCAATATAAAGTTCTTCACCTGGCACTTCAAAAACTAAAAAAATGGTTACTGGGTACTTTTTATTTTTAATTAAGTTTTAATTTATTGCAATAAATATTATAACAAGGCCTCTGGACCACTGTCCCTACAAACTGAATTTTTGCTTTTGAGTTCTAATCTGCTGGATTCCATGCCTTAACATGTTCAAGTTTTGAAAGAGGAATGCTGGATTGCTGCTTCAGCAGCTTTCTCTCTACTCCTTTGGTTTTTGATATTATGTGGATCTCTGAAGCCATCAACTTTTTCCCCTCTGCTTTCCTTCCACATTCCCAGTAGGAGGGATGCCATTAATATGATTTTAAACTCATGATATGAAAAATGTGCATTCACTGTTGCAGACAAGTGTGTTGCACAGGGAACAGGTTTGAAAATATTATCACTGGTTCTTAGACAGCAAAGAGGAGTGTACAATAATGCACAATAAAACCAATGCATGGATCTTTACCACCCAATGTTTACTTAATTTATTGAATTGTGCACATTCATATGCCACCTTATTTGCATAGTATAATAAAGACATAAGCCTTTTCGTTTAAAAGCATGGAGCGTACATGAATTAACGTGCAAAATTAAAAAGATGTCCTTTTACACACTTTGTAAAGACCAACAGTTTGGGGCCAAAGTGTTTCCTGATGGAGCACATTCCACAGTTTGGGACCAATGGAAGAGATAACCCTTTTATGTGTTGCCAAGAAACTGGCCACCATGGGAAATGATGCCCTCAAAAGAGCCTTTCCTGCAGATACCTGTGCAGGCCCGTAACACGACAGGTAAACTCTCAGAGAGCCAGGTCCTGTGCCATTTAGGCCTTTGAAGGCTAGAACCTTGAATGCAACCCAGAAAGCATTTGGCTGTCCCTCTCCAGCTGCCCTACGGTCCAGGCACGGTGCTCCCATTAGCAGCTAGATCTGCAATTTGCACCAGCTGTTGCCTCCAGAACAGCCCCACACAGAGCACACTGCAGCAGTCTAAAGGTGAAGTAACCAAGGCGTTGAGAGCTGACCAAGTGAGACCACATCAAGAAAGGTTCCAGCCAGTGCACCAAGCATGACTACACAAATCACAGTGATGACGGGATATATTTCCCAAAACAACAACGCTGCAGCTAAGCCAGTGCATTGGTAGAAAACTGGCCCTAATCCACCATGTTCCTATAAAGAAAGGCAGGAGCATCTGCAGAAGTAAACGGGTGCATTTTGTAAATCCCTATACAGGGACTATGCCTGCTCTGAAGCATAAAAAATTGTCCATGACAAAAACAGCTGCTGTGCTGTAACTCTGGGATTAGAGTGTTTATCAAATTAATCTCCCAGTTCCCTTGGGCCCTTTCCATCTGCTTATTTGGATTCACCTGTTGCCTTATGTCTCAAACCTGAACTGTGATTTATGCTCCTGAGTAGCTGTTCTTTTATCCGAGAGGCATTTGGCTCCCTGGACACAAAGGATTTCTGGTTACTCAATGCAGACTGTACAACTGAAATGTAATAACAAAAGAGGAGGCAGCAGGATTTGACTCTCAAAGCTGTCATGGAGCAACCCGGTTTTCTTCTCCAGAGAACAAACTTTTATCTTTGACTACAAAGTGAGCATAAATTGGAGCATTCCCTAACGTGCTTCAGGTCTGTAGGTTCTGGCCTTCATGCACCTGCAATTTGCAACCCCACTTCTTACATTTTAACACACAGCAGGACATGTAAGCCCATTCAGAGATTAACTTTAGCTGCATTTCATTTGATTTCTGAGGAGGAGATGTTATCCAGAGATCACTAGCCACATATATAGCTGAAAAGCCTTTGCTATCCGAATGCTGATTTAACTAAGTTACAAAGGACATTGTGAAAACAGACATGCAGCCCCTTCCAGGAGTAAGCTAAGGACCAAAAAAAGGCATTACTTTACACAGGTGTTCAGTCGCCTTGATGCCTTTTCCTTTCACTCTGGACTAGGTGCAGGAGCCATGCTCAAAAACTCAAAAGACCTCCTTTCCAAGGCCTGTCCACCCACGAAACAGGGCCAGGCACCTGCATCAGGTGGCAGAGGAGAAGAAGCACCAAAATGCTCTGCTTCATGGCCCTCCAGAGCAGCCACCTTCCCTCTCCTTCCGTGGTTGTGTTCAGCTGCGGGGAACTCACCAGAGCTCCTGAGACCCACACTAATTCCTGCAAGCAACCTCTGGGGTCTCCTGAGACCCACATGGACAGCCAGGTGAATCCTGATGTGGTGCTGGCAGCAGCAAAAACTGCAAGGATGGAAAGTCTGAGAGGATGCGTGCACTGGTGGTGTGCCTTCTCTCTCGCCTGTGCCGGGTCTCACAGATCAGAGGCTGTACACCAACTTGAGGGGAGAAAATGAAAGGAGAAAAGATATAGCTGCTAGACTCTGTTAACCCTTAGCAGGGAAAAAGAACGTCTTTAGGTGCACGTGATCCAAGCTACTTATTATTTCTCTGCCTAGATGCCTTTAGTAACTAGTGCAGATACTAGAGCTCAGTATCCAACAACTTTGCCTCAGGGAGCAGGTCTTATTTTGCACCAGCTAAAATTTCAGGAGCCCTGAATGATGATGATAATGATGATCATTGTGCTGGATTCAGATACAGGAGTGAGCAGGTGAGATGGCTGAAGCAGCTTTCCTCCTCCTCTGAGGCCCTTTTATAATATGAAATATTATAGGAAAAGTTCTGCAGGCCCTACTGGAAGTGGCCACCATTTGCACAAGGCAGGGGGCCCCTGAAAATCTGGTAGTCACCTTCTCTGGATGAGTGGAGCTATTCTGTCCTGGAGCCAACCTTTTAGGATTATCTGACATACTGCATCACTTACTCTTGATGAAAAATGCTCCACACAATTCCACAATATTGTAACTGGGCATCATTACCCCAGACCCACACTGCCTTGCCAGTAGCCAGTTAACTTCAACCTCCATGCCCTCTGTTGCACAAGGTCAGATTATCCATCATCGCAAGCAGTGTTCTGGTATGCTTTTGCACCTTCTGCATTGTGTGTCAACCCACAACCAAACAGAATTTCGTAGAATTTGCTTAACTTATCTTTTTAAAATGGCTTTTAGAACTCACTAGTTTTGATTCTTCAGCCTGGAGCAAATAATTAATCCCGTGTGTGTGTGTGCAATACTTCTTGTTAAAATGGCTTTCCCAAGCCCATACTGGCCTAGTCTACAGTTGACAGTGGGTTTAACTATAGTGGGTTTAACTATAGCTAGCTGGGACCATGCTGCAGCAAATGAGCATTCTTTCTCCTGCCTATTCACTCCCTGCTTTGAACATGCTTTAATAAACAACCTGAGAGTGCTCTTCCTTGGCTCATTTGATGCAGATTTCCCATGGGTTCTTGGATTAAACTATTTATTAGAAAGAAAAGAGATGCAAAAGAGTGCAGAAGCTGTAGGGCCATTGCACTAATTTTCCATGCAAGCAAAGTGATGCTCAGGGTGTTGCAACCAAGAATTTAACTCTGTATGAAGTGAGAAATGCTTCAAGGATTCTGAAAAACAAGAAGCACTCAAGAACATATCACAAATATACGTTGCATACTGGAGCAGACAAAAGAATTTCAGAAGATTAGTCTGTTTACAGCAAAATTTTTGACAGTCTGCATCATGATAAGCTATGGATGGTACTGCAGGTGTGTACCTCAACACTTGATTGTCCTGATGTGTATACCTGTATTGTGGACAGGAAGCTACTGTTAGGGCCAAATATAGAGAAACAGAATGGTTTCCTATAGGCAAAGGTGCATTTTATTTCCTATCTGTTCAATGGGTATGTAGAACATATCATGAGGAAAGCTAAATTAGGATCGGAAGAAGAAGGAATGAACATTGGCAGATGATACAGCAATAATTTAAGATATGCTGATGATGCCACATTACTGGCAGGAAGAAGCAAGTAATTGAAACAATCCGAGATGAAAGTGAAAGAAGAAAGTGCAAAAGTGATACAGCAGCTATGCATTGAGAAAACAGAAATCATGACTGCAGAAGAATTATACGATGTTAATGTCAGCAAGGAAGAAATTGAAATTTTGAAAGATTTGACATGCCTTGGCTCAGTCATCAATTCAAAAGGAGGCTGCAGCCAAGAAATTAGAAGAAGAATGAGACTTGGAAGGGTAGCAATGAAAGAACTGAAAAAGATCATCAAGTTTAAGGACATTTCACTGGAGACCAAGTCCAAGATCATTCATACTGTTGTAATTCCAATTACTTTGTATGAGTGTGAAAGCTGTAAGGTGAAGAAAGCTAACAGGAAGAACTTGATGTATTCCAAACATGCTGACGGAGGGGAGCTTTATGCATAAACTGGACCAGCAGAAAGACAAACAAGATCAAATCATTCCAGAACTATCCCTGGAAGAAAAATTGCACAACTGAAAGTGCCATACTTTGGACACATCATGAGAAAACAAGACTCACTAAAGAAGATAATCATGGTAGGGAAAGTTGAAGGAAAAAGAAAAGGAACGTTAACGATGGGATGAACATAAAGGAAGCCACAGCTTTGTGTTTGTAAGAACTGAGCTGGGCTTTCAAGGACAGGACATTTTGAAGAATAGTCATTCATAGGGTCGCTTTAAACTGGAGATGGCTTGATGGCACATGACAATAAGAAACTGAGTCAATACAGTTTTGGCCTAGAGAAAGAAAATGCTAGTGCGGATGCATTATAAGAATCGAATGGAAGGGAGCAGTTTTTCAAGCAAGGTCTTTTCTGTCATAATACTAAAATTCTGAGAGCTGTTTCACCAAATAACTTTCGTTCCCAGAATGCAGCTATTAAAAGAAAAAGAACAACATTTAAGATCAATCATCAGCATTACTAGTCTATACATGCTGAAGGAAGTCATTGCATATAGGTCTATGTAAACAAATACATTGATTACCAGTATCTTGTTTTTATGGTTTGTTCGTGGGCTTCTTTGTTTTGTAAACTACCCCATAAAACAGATTCTTAAAGTTACTTTCTAGACCTACTTTGCTGGATTTCTTTTCACGTTTCTGACCTGCAGTGAAAGCTCTTCAGGCTGCCCTGTTTCCTTTACCAGCCCAGTGTTTCTTCTGCAAACTATGATGGAACAGAAGTTGCTTTCTAACTTTAGAGAAATCCATGTAACAAAAATGAGCTTTTCGCCCCAAATCATGCTGATCTGCAGCAGTTCCAGACTCATTTACTTCAGTCATTATTTAATTATCCCACCCAGGAGATCTGCATAGTGTGAAAGGTGGTGGAGCCTTACTTATTTGTATCCAGAAGTGTTAACAAATGTCTGTTCTGATAACACTAATTGAGGTGCTGGGATATTAGCATAGAAGTCAGACAGCTTTAATGTATCCTCCAGAGCTTTGCAGCTGGAGAAGACTAAGGCAGGTGAGCCAGTTAACATATGAACAAGTGTCCAATAATTTCTAATCCGTTTGGTGATAATTGTAATGCCAGGGATCTTTATGACATTGTTTTAGCATTCCTGCAGATTTCACCTGGGTATTGATGCCTAATTGAAAACCCATTCACATCTCCATTCTGTGGGCATGTGCTTTTAAACAAGAAGAAAGGATTTAATTGGTATTGTGCCTAGTCTTGTTTATAGCAGGAAACCTAATAAAAGAGAAGGGGAGAGGTGAATAGCCCAGAACTGTTCTACTTGGCTAGCTACTGCTCTTTCTATTCCAAACAGGTCTTATCACAAATCTTTTTGTTAATGTTAGTCTGAGAGGAGCTGGGCACAAATGTATCCAAACAAATGGATGCAAGCAGAAAGCCGATGAGAAAAGGTGGGGAACAGTGTGACCAACTTTGCCCTTTAGGAACAGTCTCGTCAATTCCGCAATGGCAACAATATTTATTATTGGCCAGAAAACATGACAGCATCATGAGCTGTACAACATTTATATGGACAAAGAGCTGTAAAACTGTCTATATGCAGCTCCACAAAGGTCATGACGGTGAAGAGAAGACAACACACAACGTTCTTTCTATAGGAGTAGCTTGCATATAAACTTACAGCTCCGTAGCCATCTTCCTCACACGCTCGATTGGAATGCTCCGGGGTAATGAGACGTTCTTCAGCACAGGCACAGATAAAAGCTGCCCCGCAAGCTCTATTGCAAAGGGTGCAGAACTGATGTTTATTCAACTTGACTCGAGTAGGAAGAATAGGAAAATAATTCAGCTTGATAACCCTGCTGCACGATGGAGAATTTTCATCACATTTATAGAATGACGGCATTCCTTCTGAAGGCTGTAGTTGCAGTAGACTAGCCAGGAAATGCCTTGAGCACTACTTTCAGGGTACGCTGTCCATCTTTGCTTGCTTCTGGTGCCTCTGGTTGAAGACCTGTGCCTGGATGCCATTCCACCAGGGAGTCATTGAGGGTGAGGCAAGGAAGCAGCAGGAGAGAAGGACTGGCACGACGAGGTCTCAGTCCGGTTTAAGCTAACTATTTTTCTGAAACGCCAGCCTGGAAAAGTGTTAGAGGCCTCTGCTCTGATTGTTTGCCCTGGGGACCAAATCCATGCCTCCAATGGTTCCAGACCAGGCCTCTTAGATTCCCCAGATGGCAGCACTCCTTTCTCAGGCTCCAACTCCTTTTGGTTTTGGTCCCATGCCTTTCCCCCGTGTCCTGCCCAGCACTAGAATATGGTAGCCAAGAGCTTCTCTGGAATGAGACTTAACCCTTATGCTGAAAGATGCTTTGTGTCCCTGGCATAAACCTCAGCTATACGGTTCACACCTTGACAAAGAGGGCCTCTTCACATATGCACCACAACCAGGAGGTGACAGAATGGAGCAATTTTTAACAGCTCAAGACGTGGTGATCACTGTAGCTTAGATGGCTTTAGGAAAGGATCACTAAAATTCAGAATGGCCAGATCTGTTGCGTTATATTGACCATGACTGTAAAACTTCTGGCTGGCTGCTTTTGAGTGCAGAATGATGGACTAGTGGATGGAACTAAGTCTGATCCCGGAAGGCAATTCTCACACTGTTGCATTACACTCTTCACTCATGCTTGGGCTTTCCCCTGCTTCTGCTGTAATGTGCAGAGAAGAGACTTACAGCTCTCTGCATCTGTGAGCCCCAGACCACACCAGGAGTTCACAGAGGTCACTCCAGGTGAAATGTGCAAGCCCCACGTGTAATCACCGGGAAGGCAAAAGGACAACTCCCGCGGCCTTCTGTATCTCGGTCTAATGTGAAAAGCAGCTCTGGGAGACATGACAGCAGACTTCTCCTCCCCTAATCTCCCAAGATCAAGAAAAGCAGTTTGGTAAACATTGTGATACACAGCTAATGTATTCGCATGTATCTCCTTTTGGGATACAGCAGCTGCACCTCCTTCGCCATCTCTCACTTGCTCATTCCGATCATGCAGAAACTGTAACCTCGCGTGTTAAGGCTACACCAGACACCACTTTAAATGTGTGTCTAGAAGCTGCATCTCTTTCTCTCCAGAGGAGGTGCAGGAGCCCTGCTCCAAACTAACAGCCTGGCACCGGGGCCTTTTAAGACCCAGACCAGGCTCTCGGTGCTTATCCTGGAATTTTTAAAAAATGAAAAGGAGACACAGCTGCTTGACACACGTTTAAAGTTTTGTTTATTTTGGCCCTCGGAGATCTTCTAGCATGAATTTGAGAGTAGCAATTTGAACTAGTCCTGATGCTAATTTTGTTATTTATAGCATAACCAGGTGAAAATAATTACAAAGATGAAAGAGGTACAGACAGAACACTCCTCGCTTTACCAGTAAATGGCTATGTTAAATAAAATATCTTGTCTTTCACCATTCCAGATCATAAAGCTCGGAAAAAATGGGATTGGATACCACTATATCCTTGCAACTTTGGTAAGCTGAACCTTGATTGCTTCTTGTTACCTTTTAATGTGTGTTTTCTGATCAATATCTTTTTATTGGTTAAGTTTGCTGAGCATTCCTATGTCTGTTTCTCTGAGAGTAAACCCCATTGAACACCATGCAACTTCCTTCTGAATAAGCATGTATGACTTGTATGTTCAAGCCACTTTCTGCAAAAGCTAACAATGGTGCAATATAAATTCATCAGTCGGTCAATCAAGGATAGTGGAGTGAAATCCTTCAGCCAAGTGCATGTAGCAGCATGGACGGAAGCGCGCATCACCGCATGTCATGTTCTACAAGGACTCTTGAAAGCGATTGCCATTGTTGTGGAGCATTAACTTGGCCCAACCTGATACAATTAGGAAGGCAAAGATGAAATAGGAAGAGAGGCTCCTACCATTCCCCGTCCCCTGATTCCCATCAGCTAACCAGACTGTTCAGGGACAAGAACAATAAATCTGCATGGAGACCTCTTTATTCATGCACCAGCTGAGTTTATAGTGAGCCAATTGTTCGTTTATGGTTCACCATAAATTCGGCTGGCACATGAGTAAAGAGGTCCCCATGCTGATTTTATAGAGTTGTTGTGACCCAACCAGTTCCCAGACTATTTAGTTGGTGCAGCCTTTCCTATCCTTCAAGATGTTTTAGTGTACAATTCTGTTCTTCCTTGGCCATAATGGTTGGGGCATATGGGGGTGACTTTCCAAAATATTTGGCAGAGCCCAGGTCAAAAAGGCTATATTAGCATTTATTTATTTATTATGTATATTGTTGTACAATTTAGGCCAGAAGCCTGCACTGCCAGTACAGAGTAGTTTGGCTGCCTATGATTGCTAGCTCTTCAGTTCACACTTACACGGTAAACACAACACACCACGGCTCACACAAAGTAGCTAGCATTAATCTGCAGGAGTATCAGTATCTTCTGGGCTCTTTCACTGCTGCTCCTGCAGGTCCAGTACTGACTGGTCTTCTTACTCCCACACAGGTCACTAGCTCCCCAGCAAAGTGGGTACCTATTTATCTACTCACACTTTTACACAGTGCTTTTTTTGTTAAAAAAAAAAAAAAAAAGGTGCCAGAACTCACGTCTTGGGGTCACACTTTTACACAATGGTTGCCGCTGGCAGTAAGCACTCAGCGCACGACCACACGACCGATCCCAAGCTGAGCAGCATCCCAAGCCGAGCAGCGCCCTCACAATCAGCGCCAACAATCAGCGCAGGCACACAAGCAGCCCGCAGGCACTATGTTAATGATTTTTGCCACCAATCTGCTATGCCCAACAGGTCGATTCATAATCACTTGGAAAAATCCATCAAAAAAAGGTGCCGGAACACCATTCCGGTACGTTCTATGACAAAAAAAAGCCCTGCTTTTACACAATTTTGAACTGCAAGGTGGGCAGAAGCTGGGACAAGGCAGTGGAAGGTCACCTCACTGCATGGATTCAAACTGCTGGATTTCCAATCAGCAAGTTCAGTGGCTCAGCTGTTTAACGCAGGATGCCACCTCATGTCCCTGGCTGTATTACCGATTCATATTCTGACCCCAAGTCTGAATCACCTGCTTCCCATGGGAGCTGGACTGGATCCTGTGTCTTCTGTCAGGCAAAACTTGCATCTGGACCTCTTACCTTGAATCCATTACCTGTTACTGAGGAATTCTAGCTTGAGGGCCACATGGCCTGAACAGGAGGAAAACAGATGCCAACCCAGACCAGACTGAACATTTTTAAAACTCACATTTAAAAGCATTTGTGAGGATTATGGGTGGGATCAAATTATGTCATACTTCCATCACTACAACCAGGAGAGGGGTGGCTTCCCCTCTCCTCACAGCACCGCATATACCTCAAAATCTGGTTTGGAGACCCTCCAGGAAATCTATGGGGTAGATTTTTGGGTGACACAGAAAGCTTCAGGAGGGCAGTGGCAGTATTAAAAGGCCCGGTTGCACTAGCAGAGTTCTTCTAGCAGGGAAGTTTATTTGACCCTCCATGCTCAACCCCCCAGAACAGGAGAGTTTGACTTCTACACAACGCTGCTTTTCAAATCCCAGTCAGACTAATGCTCAGGCACAAGAACTCGCATGCAAATGCAAAATGCCAAGCGTTTGTTGGTGTGGAATTGGATGACATGCATTTGACAGGTCCCAGGGAGAAGATGGTTTGTTCTCCAGTGCTGTTCAGCCTTTGAATCCTCCAGCGAGCCTGCCAATGATGGCTTCAGCGTTTGTTGTGGTGTGTGCCATGGACACATGGCTTCAATATGTCTGTGCTTTTAAACTCATTTAATCTAGGCCACCACACAGCTATAAGCTGGCAGTAATGACTTTCACTCTCTACTAAAGCGTGCTGCATTTCAGTCCGTGCACCAAAAGGGAAGTGTTCCATGTCCCATTAGCAATCCCAGGGGCCTCCTCAGCAGAAGAACAGATTGGGACTTCACTCAGCTATAATACAGTCACCATCTGACTCAGTGGTAAACATCACCTTATGGAAGAACTAGAACAAGAGGCCAAACTTTGTTTTTTATCCCTGTATGCAAGGTGAAAACTTGAGCAGCGTATAAGCCAGAGGTGTTGAACCATTTTCATCTGGACAGCTGAATTCTTTTTGAGGAAGCTCCTGGGGACCACATTCCCTGTGATGGGCAGGGCCAGGGGAAAAGGGGGTCTTGGCCAAAAACACCAGATATTCCAGCTTGTTGCTGCTGGAACCTCTCACTGCTAATAACTGTTAGGAGAGACATTTCAACCTTTTAGAATTGTGGGGAAAGTCGGTGTGGGCAGTGTGGAAAACCTGGGCAGCCTCCCCATGATTGGCAGTTGGAGTGATGGGGGTTTCCCCCATTGGGGGAACCCTGCACTGTCAGATTGTGACCACTGGTGTGCCAGGTTGGGCCCACAGGTCTGAGGTTCTAACACTGCTGGTAGCAGTGATGTGTGAAACACTAACATAAGGCTGCTCCTTACACTGAACAAAGTAAGGGGAGGGAGATGGAAAGATCAGGAGCTGATCCCTCCTTTCCTCCCTCTCACCTGAGGGGCAAATGAATGATCCTGCCCGTTGCCCCACTGCGGGATAGTTTTATTTACCTCTGTGTAAGTGTGTTTAGGTCTGAGCTGGATCAGGACTGTGTACTCCAGGGATGATTAACTTCATCCTCCGTGCAGTGTTAGGCTCCCCCAAATGCCATTTGGAGCCCCGAGTCTCTGGGAGGTCATCTACACCAGCAAACGGCCATTCTCTGTAGCCACCTTCCTCTCTAGCTCCATCTTGCAAAAAACTTCATTAGATGCTTCCAAAATTCTGCAAGCAAAATTCTGCAAAATCCAATGATAATGCATGTGAAATCTCACACCAAAGTCTCACAATAGTTTGGACACATGAGATTTCAAGCTCACCTCCACAACTTTTCCACAACTTGGATGCTTCAGGAAGTCCTGCAGCCAGCCCTTTCATGGTTTCCATGGCAGTGGAGTGGCTGGAAGAGCTGCCATAAACACCCCCTAGAGCAGAAGGTGACCTGCTCAGTCCTCTTCATGAGGAGGTGGCAGAAGAACCATGAGACTGGCAGGGGCAGGCACAGAGCAGGTCCAGGTGCAGGTATAACACAAGAAGATCCATCGTTCTGTTTAGACAGTGGCCAGCCAGCCAGCTGTGAGGAAACTCCCAAAGAGGACATCAGTGCAGCAGCGCCCTCCCTTTCATGTTCTTCAATAACTGGCAGGAGGCATCATGCCACAGATACTGGAAGTAAAATGCGGCCACCAGGACTAGTAGCCATCAGGTAGTACATTCCATTCTCAGAGCAGCTGATTGTTTCATTCCACTGTTGAGCCTTCATGTCTTAAGGAGCAAAGGTGGAGAGAGAGAGAGTGACATTTTCTGCAGAGTTCAGCAAGGCTAGAGCCCTTGGCAATGTCTTTATGGAATTACTCCGAGAAAGAAAAAGGCTCTGTTTGCAGAAAATTGGCGATGGGGGGCAAGTGAATCCAAATCCATTTTTCAAAGAAACAAAGATCTGTTTCACTCAGTGTGCCTAGAATTTATTTTTGTAATGAAAGAATATTTATCTCACAGTGCCGAGTGTCCACATTAATTAATAATATTTTCGAAGCATTTAACTGTGTGTACTAAGCTTTTTTGAGTCATTTATTTGCAATCTGTTCTGCAGGCATTTCACTTCTATCTGTAATTAAGCTGGTGCCATGTAGCAGAGCAAGCTGCTTGTGTGCCTTCTTATGCAACTGCTCCAGAAAGATGTGTAAGAAGCTCACACCAGCAATAAGGAGCGGCTTGCCTGCTCCCTGTGGAAGAAAGTACCATAAAGGGGCTAGGAAAACTCCCCTTTGAGGAAACATAATTGCAGCTGTTTAGCTTGGAGAAAGGTGTGTGAGGGGACACATGATCGGAGTAAGCAATATTTTGAATGGCATGGAGGGGATCCCTTCCTGATGGTAGAACCTGGGTCATTCCATGAAGCTGACTGGTGCGAGATTCAGGACTGATCAAAGAGAGGAGTTCTTTACACAACACATAGTTAATCTATGGAATTCACTGCCATGGCAAGTAGTAATGGACCCCGACCTGGGTAGCTTTAAAGGGAGAATAGCTGTTATCTATATGCTACCAATCCCTTCATGGATCAGTGCCTTGACGTATTTTAAATACAATGGCAAGTATTTTAAACTTTCACAGTTTTTAAGTTTAGTCGCTTTAAGTTTAAGTTTGTTTTGTGATTCATTGTTTTGTTCTGCTTTATTATTTATTGAAATTGTTTTAGTTGTCTTTTTAAATATTGTAAGCTGTCCTGAGAACTTGTATAATAGGGCAGCATACAAAAGCTTTTAATAAATAAATAAATAAGATATGCTGGAGTGCCTGAGGGTACAAGCACATATATGCTTTGCATACGGCTCACCTTACTTGTTTTGAAATATTTTCCTACTATGTAGCTGTGTGGTTCTCCTTCATGGAT